TGGAGATGCACCAGCCTGAGCAAGGAAGACTTTGTGGTAACCTCTGGTGTTTGTCATTGTTTGGTGTGTTTCTGAAGGGTCTTGTATGCCTGATGAAGTCTGGTCACACTGCACAGGCAGAGTGCTGAGACCACCAACCCCCCTGTAACAGCACTCATGGCCTGTGTGAACTGCCTACTACCTCTCTTCTCACACCCAGGGCAGTGTCTCTTATCTGCCAAGCCCTGATAGCCAAGCCCAGGGATAACCCAGGCTGCTTGACAGCAGAGATTTCACCTCGCCAGCTTTGCCTGTTTGGGTTCTGCAGTGACTAGCAGGGCAGGATCCAAGAAAGCATAGGTAGCTTTCTTCCAGGGTCCTGCTATATTGCAGGTAGCAGCAAAGAAGCACATATTTTGGGTTAGCATATCTTTTCTTCTGGGAGAGAGGGCACATAGCTCCATGGTAGAATTAGCAATCATAAGGCCTTGGGATTCACATCAAGTACCAGAAATAAATGAAAACCATTTTCCCCCAGAAAGATACCCTGGACACTAAAGCTGGTGAATATTTGAGGGGTGGGGGCTTCAGGAACTTTTCATTAAGAACTTGGTGAAAATATCAAATTTATAAACTGCTCCTAAATCATCCTTTCCAAGCCATAGTTTATAGTCAACAATTGTACCCTTTAATAGGTGTTGACAAGCACCTACACTCCCATCTCACCACCACAGAGGAGGCTTGGTGCATTTGTCACCCCAGCCAGCCCTTTGGGGGCATGTTCTTTCCAGTCCTTCCCTCAGTCCCGGACAGTGACCTGATTTCTGTCCAAGCTGCTCCATGTCTCCTCTGTGCTTCCGCCATGAAAGGGGAGAGTGGGGCATGCAAAGATGGCTCAGTGGCTAGGAGCGCATGCTACTGCTGCAGAGGACCCGAGGTTAGTTCCCAGACTCCACAACCGCCAGCTCCAGGGCTTCCTCATGCCACTCTCTCGTGGCACTGCACTCACACACACACATACACACACACACACACACACACATACACACACATACACACACACAACTCACATACACACACTCACACACACTCACATACACATAAACACACACTCTCACACATACATTCACATACACAAACACACTCACACACAAACACACACATGAACACTCACACAAACACTCTCACACAAACACACACAACTCACATACACACACTCACATACACACACTCACATACACACAGACACACAAACACACAACTCACATACACACACTCACATACACACAACTCACTTATACACACTCACATACATACAGACACTCACACATACATTCACATACACAAACACACTCACACACACATAAACACACACTCTCACACACAAAAACACTCACACACACAGAGTCATAAAAACAGAAAAGGGCAGAGAACAGAATCTTTGGCACCATTTCACAGACTCTTCATTTAAATATTGATTTGGCTCATAAGGTGGAATGGTGGTGCTCTTTCTAAAACTGTAGAAAGAATTCCAACGTGGGATGGATCTTTGCTTTCTTTGACTATGAGTTGAGTTGTAGCCTGTCCTTTTGGAAAAGGTCTGGATACATCCTTTAGGACTTCTGCATAACCTAGCTTGTGGGTCACTGTGGGAGTTTATGCATGTCTAAGTATGGTGCTGAACTCCTCTGTAAGTTTTATGATTTCCCGTCAGGCTGAAGGAATATAGTTGGCCATACACTTAAGAGCTCATTTCTGGCCTCTCAATTCTTCATGGACCATAGCCTTGCTGTATGCGAATCCTGCAGCCTTGGATTCTTACTCACATGGTCAGGTGATTACACAGGAAGAAATGGTTTTCCAACAAGTAGCTCTGCAGCTGGGTGTGAGGGCTCACCCTGCCATCCCAGTACTGACAGAAGGATTGCCATAGTATACGGCCAGCCTGGGCTATGGAGTCAATCCCTGTCTCAAAATAAACAGAAACATCTGTGCCAAGACTGAATTTGTACATGCAAAAGAAGGATTTTAGACCTCCCCTGCATACCATGAATAAAGATTAGCTCATGAGGCTGGTGAGGTGGCTTGAGTCCTGGTGAGACATCTGTGACCTGTTGAGCTGGCTCATCTTATGTTAGCTTGATAACAAGCTAGAGTTATCTGGAAGGAGGGTATTTTAGTTGAGAAAATGCCTCCATAAGATCTGGCTGTAAAGCATTTACTTAATTAGTTATTGATGTGGAGGCCCAGCCCATTGTGGGTGGGGTCTTCCCTGAACTCGTGGTTCTGGGTTCTGAACCCAGCTGGCAGGCTGAACAAGCCACAGAAAGCAAGCCAGTAAGAAGCACCCCTCCTTGGCCTCTGCATCTGCTTCTGCCTCCATGTTCCTGTCCTGTTTGAGTTTCTGTCCTGACATCCTTTGATGGTGAACAGACATGGAAGTGTAAGCCAAATAAACCCTTTCCTTCCCAATTTGCTTTTTGGTCATGGTGTTTCATCTGGTATTTCATCACAGCAACAGTAATCCTAACTAAAACACCCATATTACTGCTGGCCTCTCTCTGTCTCTCTCTGTCTCTCTGTCTCTCTCTCCCCTCCCCCTCTCCCTCTCCTTTCCCCTCTCTCTCCCTCCATCTCTCTCTTGTCTCTGTCTCTCCCTCCTCTCCCCCTCCCTCTCTCTCCTTCCTCTTTTCCAGCTCTCCTTTTCAGCCTCATAACTAGGTCTACTCCCTCTCTTCCCTCCAGCTCTGTCCCCCCATAAGTTTAGAAGAAAAAGTCTATAGAACAGAAATGACAACAGAAGGTCCGTGAGCCACCAAAGAGTGGAGACGGTTTTGTAGGCCACATTCAATAATATTTTAATGGCACATGTGCTAAGTCTGCTTGCTTTAAAAGAACTCAGTATCAAAGTAACTTAGGTGGGTGCGAGGCACACTGAGCATACATTCACCTTATCTGTTTATTATATGTATTTGTGTATGTGTACATGCGCGGGAGTGTGTGAGCCACGGTACACATGATGATGAGAGGCAAGTTTGTAGGAGTCAGTTCCCTCCGCTAGCGGATGAGTCCTAGGTGTCTGTCTCAGGTCACCTGCTTGGCACCTGAGCATCTCACTGGCCCCCAAGTGTGAGTGCTTTTAAACCTCGGAGCTCTTGGAGTTCATAAGGTTTGCAACATTGCCCTTTGTGACTTGCCATTGAGGTCCTTTCAGCTATGTTGGTGGTTTCTCCTGACTTTCCACCCTGAACTTGCCTCTTGTTCTAGTTTGTAAAATGGCCACCACATCCCTCAGAGACAGGAAACTAAGTCACATTTTCAAAGGTTCCCAGGGAGCTGTCAGTTCTGACTTAATACTCGTGCTGGATAGTTTATGTCAACTTGATACAACCTCGAGGAGGGAACCTTAATTTTAAATAATGCCTCCATACGATCAGGCAAGCCTATAGAGCATTGTCTTTTCTTTCTTTCTTTTAAATTTATTTATTTTTAATTTCTCAAGACAGGGCTTTTCTTTGTAACCCTGGCTGTCATGGAACTCACTCTGTTGACCAGACTGGCCTTGAACTCAGAGATCCACCTGCTTCTGCCTTCCAAGTGCTGGGATTGAAGGCATGTGTTGCCACTACCCAGCTGGGCATTTTCTTAATTAGTGATTGATAAGAGAGATTGTTTGCAGTGCCATCAATAGGCTGTGATCTTGGGTTCTTGCTGTAAGAAAGTAGGCTAGGCAAGCCATGAGCAAGCCAGTAAGCAGCATCCCTCCATGGCCTCTGCATCAGCTCCTGCCTCCAGATTCCTGCTTTTGGTCATGGCATTTCTCACAACAGTAGAAAATTAACTGAGATACGCACCTGTGGTTATGGTGTCCATGACAGCAGTGGGAATGTGGCTTTATTGCCTCTTGCTTACCTTGTCAGGCTGCTTCACCTTCTGAGCCTAGGTTCCATCGACTTAAAGCAGGAAGTTGTGGCATCAGCCGAACTTCAAAGAGATTTGTGTTGTCTTGCTTACCGCAGATGCTGCCTTCTGTGGAAATGCTCAAGGTTTCACCATCATGCATTTCATTGTATCTCTGTGGTACATAAAACAGGCTGCGGCTGCCCATCACCACTCAACCCGCAAGCTGCTCTCAAAGTGGACTTACTGCTTGCAATCAGATGTTTCTGCTCAAGGTGGTGCTGTTTCCCCAGCAATGGTGTGGTTACGCATTTTTAGTTCCATGGGGTATGCATTCAGCAGCTAGTCACTGGGTCTGCCTTTAGGACAGTCTCTGCCCTCTGTTGTCCCCAAGCTGTCTGCCCTCGAGAAGCCAGTGGAGAGCTGTGGAAATGCGCACTTACTCCAAGCCTATGTATTTCCATGAGAGAAGAGAGTCAGAGCAACCTAGAGGACCCAGCTTTGTCCTGTTTTATGAGGCTGGGCCTGGCCCACTGCATGCCAGACAAGCAACCTACTCCTCGGCTGCACCCTACCTCTCAGACACCTCTTTAGACAGTATTTTTATGTTCATTTTGTTTTTGAGACAGGGTCTCAGACAGACCAGACTGACCTTGGATTTATTATGTAGGTATCCAAGGATGACTTTGGACTCCTGATTCTCCTGCATCTGCTTCTTCTATGCTGGGTTCTTAAGTGTGCACCACCAAGTCTGATTTTATACCATGCTGGTAATGGAACCCAAGGCCTCATGCGTGCTGGCCAAGGAAAGATTCTACCAACTGAGATACACCACAGACTGGAGGCATGCTTCAGTTCTCCCATCTTGCTTTTTGTGTTTTTAAGTAAATCTTATTTTAGGTCTCAAATATTTAAAAATCATGTATATCTTGGGAATAAAGAACCTAATATATTTCACCCCAAAACCTATTACAGTATGGGGGTGCTCACACTCACAGAATTGCCTGTGTCAGGACCCCTAATAACCATTTCCTCCTCCTTGTCACCCACTAGACATGTATCTTTACAGATGTGTTCATCCCTTGCCTAATGCATAATTGTTCTGTTCTGTTTGTTTTCAGATCCGGGGATTTCTGTCACGGTTTGATAATGTTCTTCCTGTCAGCCTGGCATTTGACAAATGTACAGCCTGTTCACCAAAAGTAAGTCATTTTGCCTCTGAGCAATTAACCTCACCCTAACCCATCAGAGTCAGTGGGCTGTGTTTTGTTTTGTTGTTTGATTGTGTGCATGCGTGTGTGTGTGTGTGTGTGTGTGTGTGTGTGTGTGTGTGAGTGTGTGTGCGTGCACGCGTGCCTGCATTTATGCATGTGTAGAAGGAGAGCCTGGAAGGCTTGACTTGGTCCTGCTGTTGTTGATCTGCATTCGTCTTCCAAGATGCCAGCCTTGGAAACCTCTGGTTCTAGAATGCAGAGCTAGCCAGACTGGATGCTGGGTCGGTGCCTGCACTGCAGTACTTTCAACTTGGACGTGAACCTCTCCTGAAGTTCTGTTTCTCTCCTGAGGGTTTCTTTCCTTGAGCCTACTGAGCAGGGCAGTTTTTAAACTTTCCCCAGAAGGTAGGGGATTTCAGGCAGTCCTGGCTGTGAGTGTTTTAGAGATGTTCCTAATGACAAAGGAAAAGCAAGCAGAGATGAGGGGCCTGTATTGGGAGGCTGGAACAGGCCCCTTCCTCTTTGATCTTTCCAGTGGCTCTAAAAATAGAGCAGGGCTGTTGTCCATCGTAATGGGAACCAGCTGATGCATCTCAAAACTACATGGTATCTCAGTTTTTAATAGGCTCTGAGTTATTCTTGCATGTGTACTATATGTGACAGCTGATTCCCCTTTGGATGTCCCTTTAAGTCAGTGGTTCTCAACCTTCCTAATGCTATTCCTTTAATATAGTTCCTCATGTTGTGGTGATCCCCAACCATAGGATTATTTTCATTGCTACTTCATAACTGTAATTTTGCTACTGTTATGAATCGTAATTGAATATCTGATATGCAGGATATCTGATATGCAACTTCTGTGAAAGGGTCGTTTGGGTCCAGGGGTCATGACCCACAGGTTGAGAACCATTGCTTTAAGCCTTCAACCTGATCCTTTTGAACTCCTACTTGGAGTGCTATGCAGAGTAGCTTATGGGGGCCATTCATCCCAAGCTGACATTTCTCAACTATAGATCTGGGATTTCCCAACTGTGCCTCCTGCAGTGGGCAGTGCTGAGGAAATTGAATTCTAGGAAAGTCTGCTTGGAGTTGAAAAGCTTCTGTTGAAAACTTCACACAGCCAAGTCCTGACCTGTTTGCCTAACAGGAATTTGGAATCGATAAGCCACAGTGATGAATTTGGTTAAATCTAGGCACTCCCAAGTGGAGAGTGGTTTATTTTCTTTTCTGCTCAGAAAGTAAACTAAGCCTGCTTTATTGTTATACATCTCAAGTGCCTGGTTGAGATTTAAAACTTATAATTTGTGGGTAAATGACCTCTAAGCTCATTCCTCTGTTGTGTCTCAAAGTATCCTGCGTCCTCTTTGGCGGGACCCCCCAAGGGTGGCAATGTGCACATTTGTCTGCAGAAACATGGGTTTAGAAATGGTGTGCTCCTTAATGGAAATGAATTTCTGTCTGTCTGTATGTCTTTTCTTTGTACAACTGAACTAATTGGACTCCAAATAACTTGGCAGGATTATTTTCAAAATGAAACCCTTTGGTGCCAGGAGCTTCCTGTGGCTTTCTGCAGGTCTAGCTCATCAATGAAACTAAGATGATTGGGTTCTAGAGAGAAATTTGAGCACTTGCTTTCTTGTTCTGTTTCTAATTAAACTGGCCCATAAGATACTGTCTATAAGGACCCCAAACATACCTCAGCCTGCCTGCCCCGCCTTATTCTTTAAGAAAGAATAGCTTTTTTGTTTTACATCCTCCCTCCTTGTAAGCATCAGATTAAACACAGGTATGGTGTCTTTGTTACCAGAGTTATTTCCTGTCGGTGGCCGTTCAGAGAGTCCTGCATTACACAGACTTGCCAGGCGAGTTAATACAAACTGACGTGGATTTTCACAGCTGCACTGTTCCCATAGCGATCACTTTTCATGTGGTCTGGATATTGGGTTTCCTTTGTGCCGAGAAGGTTGTACCTCCTTCCAGGAGAAGCCCCTTGTTTACTTTCTTGGCCCCCTTCCCTGTCATTCGCCATCATCTGCAGACCAAGCGTTGATACTTCAAAAATGACAATTCTAATTACGCCTTGCCACTCTAAATGTTTTCTTAACGCTTTACTCCGCATGATTTTTTTTTATACTGAATCATGTCTGAATTGCTCCTGTTTGAATCAAAATTCTTTGGACCTAAAAATGAGTTTTAGAAATTTCTCCATTGATATTTGTTCTTTTGTCTTCATTCTAGAGAATTTCATACATGTATATAAGGATGCATGATCCTATCTTCCTCTGTCTCCCTGCTTTAACTCCCCTCAATTAGTCCCTCAATACAACCCCCTCCTAACTTCATTGCCCCCCTTTAATAACTTACTTAGTCCCGTTAGCACTTTCCATGTGGGTATGGGTGTGGGGCCATCCTCTGAAGCTCGAGGAAACCATCATTGGCCACACATTCAAAAAAGAATGATCCTTCCTCCCACAGCTACTATCAACCGCTGTAGTTCCCCAGTCAGGAATGGGGGCCTAGGGCATACCTCGCCCATCTGTGCTGGAATTTTGATGAGATTTGTCTCACCCAAGATTCTTGCAGGTAACCAGAGTTTCTATGAGTTCATGGATGTGGTCACCATGTCAAGTCCAGAACTTGAAATTCCATGGCCCTTCTCATCCCCCAGCTCTTGTCTTACATTCTTTCTGCCTCCTCTCCTGTTATCTCCCCCAGAGGCCGTGGTGGTGTTTTTAAGGGTTTCCCACTGAGGACTGAGCCTCAGTCTCTTGTTCCCATGAGGCGATGTTTTCCTTTGGTGGTTTTCCCAAGAAGAAAGGCTTACTCTACTTTTGTCTTGACTTAGCTTCAAATACAGAAAGGGGGGCTGGGGAAGCAGGATACTGTCTGTGGGGTAGTAAACCTCCTGTTGATTAGACAGTGATACCGACAGTGTAGCTGTCATCATGTTGCCTGAGTTGAAGAAGGACAGAGGCCTCTGCCTCTGTCTAGGAAGGTGGTGTCGTTGTCCCTCTCAGCATGTCCCAAGCCTGTTTGACCTCAGCTTGGGACAGAGCAGGATGAGTTGTTCCACTCACATATTTGCATGGAGGTGAGGGTGCTGAGGGGTTGTTTTCTTGTTTAATTTTAATTTCTGTTTCATCATTTCACAGAACTTCCTTAAATAGTGGCATCTATTGCTAGAACTTAGAGGCCTTTTTGACATGTGTACAAATTGCTTTTTAGCTCTAGAGTGTTGGTAAACTTCTGTCAGGCCAACAAGTATGACTGTGAACCAGCAATCTTGACAAGCTGTCCCAGAAAGCATTGAGGAAATTTATTAGCAGCAGTCTGTTTCTTAATTTCTTTCTCTCTTTTATTTCCAATTGGGATTCTTTTTTCAGTAACTGTATTTTGGTACAATTTTTTAAAGATTTATTATTTTAAAGTATTTGTGTGGGAGTGATGGAGTGGAGAGCCTACAGAGGCCAGAAGTAGCAGATCCCCTGGAACTGCAGTTACAGGCAGTTGTGAGCAGCCTGATGTGGGTGCTGGGAACTGAACTCTGGTCCACTGCAAGAACAGCCAGTGCTCTTAACCACTGAGCATCTCTGTCCTTCTGATACACTTTCACACTTACAGAAATGGGGCAGGAGAGATGGCTCCGCAGTTAAGAGTGTTGGCTGCTCTTGCAGAGGATCTATGTTCAATTCCCAGCACCCACGTGGTTACTCACATCCATCCATAAGTCCAGTTCCAGAGAATCCAACTCTCTTTTCTGGCCTCTTCAGGCACCAAACATGGTGCACATACATTCAAGCACAATACTTATATACAGAAAGTAAAGTAAATAAATCTTTTTAAAAGGGAAAAAAACTGAACTTACAGAAAACTGCAGAGTCAGCTCCTGTTCGGCCTTTACCAGGGTCTGTGGTTTCCACCATTCTCCCGTTTGCTGGCCTACTTCCTCAGCTCTGCCCCTTCTGGTTTCTTTCCCAAGTTTTCCAGAGTCAACGGGGAATTGTTCCTTCTCAACCAAACATCTCCCTGTGAATTTCCTAAGAACAAAGACCCCCTCTCTCTTACGTAGTACTCAGGAAGTGGAGACGGTTCAGGGCTAGCAGTCATGGTACCTGACCCCCAGGCTGGATGTCAGAGGTTGTCATCTGTCCCGGAATGCTCTTACAGATTTCCCTTCTTCCTCCTCCTTCCAGATGAGGACCCACTTCAGGGGCAGGACCCACCTTTATGTAGTCGTGACGTTTCTTTTGACCTCCCTCAGCCTTTTGCGGCATTGTCCATTGATTTGGATCTGTCTAACATTTGTGTCTGAGGAGATTCGGGTTATGAATTTGACAGGAATACCAAAGAAGTAATGTGCCCTATCTATGTCTAGAGACATGTGACATGTCTTGTCGCTGTCAGTGGTGTTAATTTCTTCTTTCTGAGTAGTTCCCAATTTTCTCCTTTCTGTGAGCACTTCCCTTTTCCAACAGGGAGAAACCTGTCCCCATCGTCCTGAAAAGATGGACTTACCTGCTCTCATCTAAAATACACAAAAGTTACAAAACTGCTACTCCCCGCTACTTCAGAAAATGGTGCTGGGGAGATGACTCAGGCAGTGACGTGCTTGCCATGTCAGCATGGGGGCCTGAGTTGGGTTCTCCAGCACAAAGGCCACGTGTGGTGACATGCATCTGTGACTACAGTGCTAAGAGCAGGGCAAGGGCAGCTTCAGATTCAGTGGAAGACCCTGTCACAAAAGGTGGAGTGCGATAGAAGAAGACATCAGTGCTGACCTCCAGTCACCGCACACAAACCCACTTATCACAGGTACCCACAGGCCCATATGTACACACATGTGCAGGCACACACACACACACACACACACACACACACACACACACACACACACACGCACACACACTAAACATGACATTCTAAAAGAAAAGGAGTGTGTAGTAAGAAGAGTTCAAGCTTTATCATAGTTCTTTTTTTCTTGTCTACTT